AACTTTTATCGTCGGTGGAGATTAAGTAAAACAAATAATAATGAGATTATTGAATCAAAGTTTTTATATTTAACAAGGGTTACATGTTATTGACATAATAGATTACATATTCTTTTATAGCTTTTTCTGTGGGCCGGCAACACTTCGTTGGAGAGATTTTTCTCATCATAACCGGATAAATGACTGACGTAATTCTCTTATATTGAGTCGTAACAGTTACTATTTTGTAAAGCATGACTCTCTCTCTCTCTCTTTTTTTTTTTTTTTTTTTTTTTGCTTTTCACTATTTAAATTGTTCCGCTAAATAACATGTGCTTGTCTACTCATGTTAACATTCTTTTTAGATTAAGAATTCTCTTATTGCATACCATTGTGACATCTATTCTAAACAAATGTTCATACATGACCGGATGTATCTATACAAAAAAAAAACATGACAGATGTAATCCTTCACAACAATATTATTCATGCTTAAAAATGACAATGAGTTATTGATATTAACAGTAAAAATGACATATGTGTATATTATTAATCATATTAAAAATGACAATCGTTTATTAATGTGCCTTTCAATATTATTCATTTAATTATTCATGATAGATGTGGATGACAGTCGTTTATTGTCATATGCTTAAAAATGACTTCTGGTTTTCAAAATATTAATAATTGTTATGACTTAGTACAAAATAATTACGTTAGTCTTTCAGCAAGTTACGATGACACATGGCAAACAAGTCCGGTCGTTTACAAAGTGGGGGCAATAGGGAGGTTCTTCTTTTATATATATTTTAAAAAATAATAATAATTTTAGTGGGGGTTTGAATCACAATAGGTCTCACTTGGCTTCAACACACGAGTTCTCTTCCTTGCCGAGACATAGAATATTAGACAACTTAGAATAATGTAATGACCTGCGCCTACACTTAGTATTATATTGTCCCGTTTTAGGTCTAAGCCCACATAGTTTTATTTTTGAGCTTCACCTCCAAAGGCTCCATAATATTAGGACGTGATGGCACGTCCTTCCTTATATGCCAACACCTATAATCATATTTAAGTGATATGGGACCTCACAACTCACCCTATCTTGGTCCTTTTGCCTGAAGTGATTAGTAGCTGACCTAATCAACCCTCGTTTTGAGGGCCCCCAACTACCTTGTTAGCCACACTTCCAGTTGCCATATGAATGGTTGTCACAAACTATAAGATTGAAAAATATAGTAATAAATGGAAAGTATCAAACTAAATAAATACGGGAGTTTCTATGGTAGGACTAATTATATGAGTTATCAATATTTTTTTACTTTCGGTCGTTAAATCTGTATTCTAAATTATTTGTTCTCTATACTTTTTAATTTGATATATATATATATATATATATAACTTTAACCAGATCTAACAGTCCACAACTGATCTTACCAATAGAAAGGCTCTACTAAAAAAAAGTCTTAATAAATAAAATAAACCTACAAAATTAAACCAACTTCATACAAAAGATTTAAAGAAAATTGTTACTTAAAACAAAAACAGATTTCTTAAACAAAAATTATATATATAATAGGATAGTACTTATATGTGGGCACGCATATAAATTCATGTGGTCTTAGAATAGAGAATTTTTCTGGTAGGCTTGTTCTACTGATAATGTCAATTTATAACTATTAAATCAAGTAAAATTCACTTCAGATTAAAAAAATATGCAGAACAAACAATTTCTAGTATAGATCTAATGACTGAAAATAAAGAATTATCGGTAATGAATTTTTTCTAATCATGCCAAAGAAGTTCCTCTAAAATAATATTTCTGTAGATTGTGAATCATATAAAACTTTACGCGTTGTAGAGTGTAAAATCTACAATTAGAGAAATCAAGGGCCAATGATCGAGTTAGGAGTCGTCGATTAGTGAAATTGATCCGCTGCGAGAACGAAGGTGATAGTCAACATGAAAGTAAATGAAAACAGTAAAACGACACAAGGAATTATAGTGATTCCCCTGATAATGTACGTCTACTGTAAGGTTCTGGTGGTTTCACTATGAAAGTTGAAAAGCGTTACAATGAATTATTTTGATGACAACGGGATGAGAGAGAAATGTATGCTGGAAAATACAACAAATAATAGAGAAATATGATGTAAGTTAGTGTGAGAGTTTTTGTGTGCTGTAGAAGCATGCCGAATTATGTCCAAATGTCTTGTATTTATAGTTGATGAGGCTTCAGAAGTTATTTCTTGATTCTCTGCATGATATGACCTTCAATTCGTGATATTCTCTTCCTTTTTGGGCACTGCATGACTTTTCTTAATTGGTTATATATGTCCATAACTGACCACCAATCATGTTTTTTTGTCCATTTTGAGTTGATCCAGCCTCTTTTTTACCTGATTGCTAGTGATATAATTTCCTTATATGGAAGACAATTAATTTCATCTAATGAGAGGGTATCTTGCAGCCTATGTCGATCGTTAACCTTTTTTTCATTAATTCTTCTAGTAGTTGATTTTTTTTCTTTTCTGACTAATTCTGTTATCAAATCTCATATAAGGAATGTCTTGAAGATATTTTCTTGTGACTTGATGCCCAACGTTATTGATCGACTCGTGGGATCAATTAAAAGAGTTGATTAGTTGGATAATCAATTATGCCTGCTCAAAGAGTCCAGATTGCTACGTGTAGAGTGAGAGAGTAGGTTATTGAAAAAGAAAGATATATACACGGACCATTATTATAAATCATTTTTGAAAAACAAATCACATCAGTTGCTTACCATTTGAATCATATCATAAAACAATCATTTATTTCAGCCATTCCTCTTTACCAAAAGTTTTAGCATATTTGATAATTTCCCTACACGGCTATACCCCGTCAATCTAGGTCAAGTACACGCCCAAACCCATAAGTGAAGTCATGACCGTACGACTCTTTAAAAACAGTTACTGTACGAACGAATATAATTTCATGCCCTAAAAGGAAAAAAAAAAAGATAGAAAAGACTAAAAATGTCATTTAAATGGTAAAAAAGCTATTATGCACGTCAATTCATTTAAAAATTAACAATTGTCATTTCATTAATAAATATAAAATAAAAGACTATAATAATAGTTAATTATTTAAAATGACACAAATAATAAAATTGTACAAAACCATAACAAGTTATGTAATTTTCTCAAAAAGAAAAAATTCCATGTCTCAAACATGACGTTGCGTGTCTCATTAACACAAATTATTTGCTTTTTTTCCTTTGAAATTTAATGCTAAGACAACTTTTTATAGTAGGGTATTTTCATCGTGAGATTTTAGTGTGATTTAATCAAACTTAATAATTACAAATGTACACAATCGACGGAGGTCCTATTATAAGAGGACCATTTTTTTCAGTTTTCACTAAGATTACATATTTTTATAACATTAAGTACGTCTAATTAGATTAATGGTTTAAAAGAGTGATAGTCATAAAATACTTTTTCATATCCTTCAAATAAATTTTCATTAACGCTAATCTTACGTATACCAAATTTGTTCATGATCAATACTACCAAGAAGGTTATAATTACGTCACTTTATCCATGAAATACAATTGAACGGAGATCCTCTGTAACGAAATATCCACTCACAATTACGTGATCAAAATTAAATAATGTTACAAGCTAGTTCTAGAAAATATAACAAAAATCTGATCAAAATTAAATAATGTTACACCGTACGGTAAGGACTATTAACGATGTATATTTTTAAACGTTAAATATAATCAAAATCATATTAAAATTAAAAAATATATAGAATTGGTAAAATTATTTACAAATTTAACGACTATTAATTAGATTACCATAGAATTTCGCAAATCACTGATACCGGCCAAATGAGAGATGTACTAGTAATTAAAAAAGTTATTCTAGTGGTTACATGCATATCTTGGCGACAGTGACTCCATTATAAGATGAAGGTCTCGTTCATTTCACCGATTCGAGTTTTCAGTTTTAAGTTTTTATAGTAAAAAACTCTAAGAAAATATCACATCTAACTTTTTCTGTTACAGTAAAAAACTCTTAGAAAATGTTACATCTTAACTTGAATCCGTAAAGTGAACGAGGCCGAAGAGTTTGATCTCCAATTTTCAAATTCAAAAAAAAATAAAAAATAAATAGGAAGCATGCATCATGTATGTAAACACATCCCGGTTCATGCCTAGAACAAAACAGGAGAAAGCAATAAATAGTAATTATAACTTTGAGGAAAGAAAGAAAAGAGAAAAGAGGGAAAAACAGGAAATCTCACACATACTTACAAACATAAATTTGGATCAGAAACTGTGCAATGTTTTTGCAGGTTTCACCTCGCCGCATCAAAGCATACACGAGATTTAGGAAAGCAAGCCAGCTTGCAACCGTTTGCTCGGCCTTAACACGTGCCTTTGCCAAGCATGACAAACGCAATGGTCACCAACCACGTAAACCCATCAAAATTTTAGTTCACCAAATTAATTCGTTATCCATAAGGTCCCTTTTTTATCCTTAAATCTCATTAAAGAGACAATTTTAAATATAAATCTTCTTACGACAAAAAAAAAAAAAAAAAAAAAGTCTCCTTAGTTCATTTTTTCAAGACGTATGGGAGAAACTCAGCTCGTTTCTGGGTTTTGCCAAAGAAACTCGGCTGTTTCCATGGAGCATAATTATTTGTCATTAATGCTTTCCGTCCAAATAAGTTCAAAAGGTAAGAAAACTGAAATCTGACCGAGGGCTTACAGATTATAGACAGTGTCAAGACTTGCTTTTTTTTTTTACTTGTTAATCTTTAGTTTTTTTGGTAAAAAGATACAAACAATTCCTTGTTCATAAATATAGAATTTTGTTTGTAGCAATTATAAACATAATTTAACAGTAATTTTAGACTCGATTCCATTTTATGGTGTAGACTCTAGAGTTCAAAAATAATAATCTGTTCTTATCATTTTACTTGACGAAAACTTAAAAGAAAGATTAGAAATTTAGAAACTGGTTGCATTTCATTCTCAAATGAATTTACAGGTCCCGAGAAGAGGAAAAAACGGGAGAGAAAGAGAGAGAGAGAGAGAGAGAGAAACCACGCCAATCTAAGCAAAATCTGTTACACAAGCCTAATTTCTCGTCAAATTTAACTCATTAAAGAAACCAAAAAAAAAAACAAAAAAACAGAGACAATATTTAAGCTAATGGGTTTGTTGTTGTCTCTGTTCTGAATTCTCCCTGTTCTCACGCTGTTCTCGATGATCATCACCGGCAGCGGCTGAATCACCGCCGTTGATCTCATGTCTCTTCTCGGGCTCCGTCATTTCCACGGACTTCTCGCTGTTCTGACAAACACAGCTTCCATTGTTGGTGCTGCTATCTCCAAACGACGACGTTCTGCTCGATACCGGGGTGGCCAGGAACGTCGGCTTGGCCTGGCCCGCCATGATCACCAAGATCTTTTCCTCGAAAACCGGTGGCGTTTTCTTCTCGTCGTCGCCTTTTCCGTCGCCGGCCTCCAGGTCCCGGTCGCCGGCGCCGTCGCCGCCGTCGAGGTAGCCGGAGAGCTTCCAATAGGAGCAGGCGAGGATGAGGAGAGCGAAGGCGATGAGGCCGAGCATCGCTGCCAGGCCGCCGAAGAGGTATGGCACCGGCGAATGCCATGGGGATCGTTGCGCCGCCGTCACCGTCGGCGGCCTCGCCGTTGCGTTGAAAGGTGCTCTTGAGGCCATTTTTGTTTTTGTTTTGTTTTGTTTTGATTTTTTGTTTTTGTTTTCGTTTTTTTTAAGTGTAAGAAGAAATTAGGAAAGAAGACAAGGTGGAGTGAGAAAGAGAGTGGATGTTTTGTGAAGTGGGAAGTGGGAAATGGAGTTATTTATAGAGAGAAACGAGGCCAAGTATGATGTAATGAGCACTATCATTTTCTAATAAAGAGAGAAATTATTCATAATGCAAAGTTCCTTTAGGAAAAAAAAAAAAAAATTGTTGTTGATATATTGATAATAATTCAACGTAAATGAATAGTGGATATTATTGGATGGTGATACAAGCATTTTTTTTTTTCTGTTTTCTTACTGAACACGTAATTTGTATGTTACCACTCTTTAAAAGCAAGTTTTAAATCCATCAATAATTAAAAATAATTAAATAGTTTTATACTAAATTTTTTTTAAAAATAATAAATGACTACTACTTAAAAAACTTAGAAGTTTTTATGGCCATATTTACAGAACTGGTGACAAATAACAATAATTAGAAGAATAATAGACAAATTTTATCTTTGGTCTTTTATTACGATTATAACATATAAATGAAAGTTTTTCTAGTAGGGTCTCCTTACCGATAAGGGTAATTTATGATTATTGAATTTAATTGAAATCACATTAGATTGAAAAAATATGTAGAACTGACAATTTTGTATACAGATTTAACGGTTAAAAGTATGAAACTACGGGCAATTTATTTTTTCTGGTCCTACCGAAAAAGCTCCCTATATAAATATGAGAGAATATACTATCAACAAGTATAACATTCACGTGCAATAGATAAAAGAGAGTCTCTCTTGTAGGACTCGAAAAAATAACTATGAGTGGTTCTTTATTTTTTAACTGTCAGATCTGTATCTGAAATTATATATTTTACATAATTTTTTAATATGATGAGATTTTAACTAGATTTATTTATCAAAAACTAACTCTATTGATGAGTTCGGCCTATCAAAGAAAGTCTCTAAATAAAATTCTTCGTTTCCACATATTTTCACCATTATAATTATTACAAAAAAGATACCATGTTACATTTTTATGTTTTCATATTACATAATCGATTCATTTTTCGATAAAATTTTTGAAATCTACGTATTATCACACACAGATTATATAATTTAACATAATGGTGTCATAAATTTTAATGAAAAAAATGCTGTAATAATAAGATTTGAATTATGATTTAAATTTACAAACCAAACCCATATATCTTTTATTTCTTGGAAATTTTTGTGATGGGTATTTTTGTTGTTGGAAGGACGTGAAAGAGAGGAGAGAGAAAGCGTGTTTTGTGGGTGGGTGTTTGGAACTTTTCAGAGCGTTGGAATTGGGGTTTCTGGGTGATTAATGTCGTCATGTTGCATGAAGATATGGGGGTCCCCGAGACTGAGAAGAGTAAAATCTGAGATCCTTTGTTTTCATATCTAAGAGTACTGTGAAACCCACTCAGGGGCAGGCTTGGTAGTGGAACTAGCAGTTTTCTTCAGATTTAAAAAAAAAAAAAAAAGGGAATCATGGGACGTTTGGCAACAAAGAAAATGTAAAAGAAAAAGGAAAAAAAAGGGAAAGGAAATAGAATATAGTTTTGTACATGGGAATTATGGTACATGCATATATATATATATATATATATATATAGCAGCCACCCTACCGTATAGGAAGATTTTCTAGGTTGGTCTCTGTTTTTTGGTCGTCGTTCGGTTTTATATCTTTTAGAGATTTTATTTATAAGTTTTGAAAAAATAAATTATCAAAATTTTTTTTATTTATTTTTAATCGTTAAATTTGTATGAAAAATTATCTGTTATGTATATTTTTTTAATTTGACAGAAATTTACCAAAAGTTATAATAGAGAATGTTTTTTTTTTGTTATTTATTTATTTATTTAGCTTTCATACGATTTTGACGAGGTCCAATTATAATAAACATGCATTACCTGTATAGGTCATCATACCATAGAAGGACTCTTAACGTATATTGTTGTTGTATGTGTGTTTGTGTTTTCAATTTTTAATAAATCAAAATTAGATAATTTAATGGCTGAAGAGATGGAATGGATTAAAGATTCTAGAAAAAAAAAATGTAGAGCATATGACGTTGAGATGTTGCCACTAATTAATTCTCTCATTATTTTTTTAAAGCATTAATGCAGAGCATATGAAAGTTGAGATGTTGCCATTTGTCTCCTAATTACTTGAAATTTGTACCTATAGCAAAAGATCCCTTGTAAACTTTTTCCTTTCATATTTCTACGAATTAGGTAACTTATTTCAATAAACTTTTGTTTTTCGTTTTTAACATAATGTAATCTTATAAAGTTTTATGAGTCACATAATAAAAGAATTGTTTTGTACGCATTTTAAAAGTGTATTATGTATATAAATCATGTGGGTGCGGAACACAAATATGAAAAATGTACAACTATATTCTTACCAAAAAAATAATGTACAACTTTATTGTGTACACAGATCAACATATTCTATGGTTTATAAATATGTGTATGTATATCTATATACACATATACATACATATAAATAGACATATATATATGCCATCTTAACACAACATGCCATGGCATATGTACTAGATTTGAGATATTCATATGTACATAAGAGAAGATTCAAGTTCCACATTAATGATATAATTTTAGGCTCTAATGGATAAAATTCAAGAATACTTTGTAAGCGTTGCCTATGCCAACGGCAGCCACAACTTTTGAAGGAAAAAAAAATGGGGAAAGAGAAAGGGGAAGTCAGCATCAAATTCGGTGCTGACATTTGAAGAAAAAGCTAGTTGTTTACAGCTGGCTCATACGGTTTTCTCAGGAGGAGTTCAGCTATAAATAGAGCTCTTCCCTTTCTGAGTTTTACATCCCATTCTCACCCTTCAGAGAGAATTCTCATAGTGGGAGAGAAATTAGTTTCTTCAGTTTTTCTTCTTTTGTGAGGTGTTACTCCTATTTACGTGAGAAAATGGTTCTTATTATTCTCTCCGTGTAATTTAGAGAGAATGTTGTAATCCCCATTTTTCATAGTGAAATCCTTCTACACTTGTCCCGTGGTTTTTACCCTATCTCCTTTTGGGGTTTTCCACGTAAAATACTCTGTGTTGATATTATCTTCATTTTTACTCATTTCTTATTTTACTGCCAGATTTGCCAATAAGTGATATCAGACAAATCCAGATGAAGCTACTGTTCATGACAAGTAATGTTCACATATATGGTACTATTCACGTATACGATACTGTTCACGGTGCGAATAAGTATGTCATAAGTAGGTTTTGTCAAGGAGACTGGAACTTAAATAGTCCACTTGAGACCCTCCATGCCTTTCATGGGAACTTGCTTAGTAAGGTGGTTTTGTCTAGGAGGCCGTCCGGATCTATCCTTTGTTGATAGAATTGGTGTATTCATTTATAGTCTTTCCTGTGAATTACTTAGTCGGTACAGTTACTGTACGAGTATTGTTCACAGCTATAGTGAAACGGTGGGAGTTAAGCAAATCATGAAATGACTGAAAAATTTGAAATAGAGAAGTTCAAAGGAAGCAATTTCATGTTGTGGAAAATGAAGATGCATGCAATTTTACAGAAGGATATTTGTCTGGCGGTTATCGGAGAAAGACTGTAAGAAATCACGAATGATGCTAATGCTATTGCCAATTTACGCTTGGCATTATCAGACAGGGTTCTATCAAGTATCGCAAAGAAGAAAACAGCGAAAGAAATTTGGGATACTCTGACGAAGTCGTACGAATCCAAGTCACTTCATACTAAGTTATTCTTGAAGAGAAAAATTTATACTCTTCGGATGTCAGAATCCACACTGGTAACCGACCATATCAACAACTTGCAGACTCTATTTGCTCAACTTACATCCTTGGGTCTAAAGATAGATGAAAATTAACGTGCAGAGATTCTTCTTCAAAGTCTACGTGATTCGTATGATCAACTCATCATCAACATAGCCAATAGAATTGTTATAGAAAGCCTACGCGATGTTGCATGCATAGTCCTTGAGGAAGATAGTCGGCGCAAGAACAAGGAAAACATGTTGGTAAGTTCAAACAACCAGAAGCTTTGACGATGATTAGAGGGAGATCAACGGATGTGGCCTTAGTGAGAGTCAAAGTCATGGTAGATAAAAATCTATGAGTATGAAGAAGAACATGAGATGTCCCAACTGTGGCAAGAGGAGGCACTTTAAGATGAAGTGTAAGGTTAAGAAGAATGAAGAGAGGAATTCTCACGGGAATGTGACAAAAACCTCAGATGATGGTGACGTCTTATACAACGAGGTAACAACAATTGTTGAAGGCAGACACAAGCTCATTAATGCATGGATACTAGATTCAGGAGCATCATGGCACATGACTACTAGGAGAGAAGGGTTCCATCAATATGAACTAATTTCAGAAGGATCAGTATACATAAGAAATGATCATGCATTGGAGATCGCTGGTATCGACACTATGAAACTGAAGATGTACAATGGTATTATTTGTACTATACAGAAGGTACGATACGTGAAGGGCATGAAGAAGAATCTATTGTCTTTGGGATAATTAGATGATGCTAGTTGCAATACCCGCATTGAGAATGAGATCATTAAAATTGTTAAAGGCGCCTTTGTGGTGATGAAGGCGAAAAGAGTTGCTGTAAATCTGTACATGCTTTTGGGAGAAACGCACCAAGAGGTAGAGTCATATGTTGCGTCAACAAATTCAGGAGAAGAATCAATGATGATGTGGCATTAAAAGCTCGGTCATATGTCAAAACGAGGTTTGACTATTCTCTCTAAACAGAAACTACTCCATGGGCCCAGCTCAGTAAAATTACCATTTTGTGAGCATTGTGTTACAAGTAAGTAACACGGGTTAAGGCTCAACACATTAAAAACTAAAAGCAAAGGCATCTTAGAATTGATCCACTCTGATGTTTGGCAAGCACCGGTATCATCCTTTGGGGGGGCTCGTGAGATACTTTGTATCTTTCATTGATGATTACTCCAGGTGATGTTGGGTATATCCAATCAAAAAGAAAGCAGATGTTTTTGAATTCTTC